ATTATTATTATTTGGTTTTGCACATATAAAAATGTTAAAACTGATTAGACATCAATAATCAATTTTGAGGCTAACAACCAGATTCAGGTGTCACTGGTAAACTGGTTGCTCCACTATTTTAAGATACTGCTAATAAGGCTGAGTTTACCTGCATCTTCTTAGACTGAAGAAGTCTCTTTGAGAAGAAATTAAACATTTCAAGTAATAAGAACAAATCCAGAGGACCTTTCTCAACTTTATTAGAGTTTTTGAGGCTGTTTTGATATTACCTGCAGTAAAAATAATTTCAACAACAAATGGAATGAATTGTTTTTTTATCGTCTTGTTTATTTGTAGCAATCAAATTAAAATTAAATTGAAGCTTCTTAAATTCCCGAAGAGAAGTAATGCAGATGGAGATGTGCTTCAAGTCAAAGCTCTTGGTTTACTGCTCCATCACATCCCATGAAAAAGARCCTGGATACATGCAGTTGTTCAGGCATCTCAGTCGAATGCCTCACAAATAGGCATCTTTAACTCTCAAAATGCAAATAAAACTAAAGATGTTTTCCTTTTTTTTATCAGAATCCTCCTGGAAGTGGCCGTGTGTTCTCAGGGATCCAGCCAACAGGAGTGCCACATATAGGCAACTATTTGGGTGCCCTGGAAAATTGGGTGGCCCTGCAGAACCAGTACCCTTCAGTGCTGTACAGCATAGTGGACCTGCACTCTATCACCCAGCCTCAGGATCCAAACCAGCTCAGGAACAACATATTGGACATGGCAGCCAGCTTGTTGGCATGTGGCATCAACCCAGAAAAGGCAATACTCTTTCAGCAGTCTCAGGTTGGTAAGGGGGGTCTTGGGTAGTGGGCTACCAGCTGTGTGCAACTTTTTTATGATGTTACACAAGGAAGCAGTGTGTTTCAGGTGTGCCTTGAATTACATCCACAGGTGTGTCTCTAGTTAACTCAGATGTTGTCAATAAACCTATCAAAAGCTTCCAAGTACATCAAATGTTCCAAATTGCTTAAAGACATAGTAATCTTAGTGCATTTAAACTTTTGRCTTTGAAGAAAGTAATAAAAAAATGCATTAAATGTATGTTCTCTCATTATTCTGGCATTTAGCAAATATATAAACATTTTTGGTAATCCTAATTGACTTTAAACCAGAAAAAGTTTATTTTGATTTAATGTCAGACTGTAAAAATGCAAATTTTATAGAGTATATTAGAGAGTGTACTTCTGATTTCAACTGTATGTTAATAAGTAAAGGAAATAGGTTATTTGACATGTTTAGAACAAAAAGCACATTTATTTCACATCTAGAAGAAATGTGCAAACATGTGAAATGTGATCCCATGTAAAAAAAAACAATTGTGGTTTTTCTGTAAAGGAATAGAGACAGCTGATTCCCATCCACTCTATTCCAAAATGAACTTTTTTTTTTTGCATTTTCACATCTTGTTCACTTGCAAGTTTTTTAGAGCAAAAACTGCATTTGAAAAAAATGTATTTTGGAGATATTTAAACTGTTTTTTTGTGTATCCGTGTTGATTCCAGATACAGAGCTTTAGCAGTATCAGCCTGTTTTGTACATGTCCACTGTCACTTAGTGGCCTGAAAACTAAAGCAACAGTAGAACTCTTTATTTATACTTTTTTCTATTTCTTCTTCACTTTATCCTGATTCTGTCACCATAAAACTTAGATTTCATGCTGAACTTATTAATCTTTCGGAGGAAATTGTGAACAGTGAACTATCAAAGAAGAAAACAAACTACAGATGAGTCAAAAGTTACAGGACACCCTTATATTTTATCTGAGATGGCGGCCATGTTCTGAACATAACCTAGGCCCCTCACCCATTACTTGCTAGGGTTTTCAGATATGTCATTTTCCCTTTTCTTTCTGAAATAAACTGTTGTCCTGTAACTTTTGATTGAATTTGTATTAATGTTTTTGGGAAAATCTTTGAGGAAGCTAAGAAAGTTTTTTTTCTTTGTAATTTAACGTCATTAACTGGATGTTCTTGCCAGGTTGTGGTGGGGCTTAGTGTTTTGAATACCCAGAATAGTACAAGTATGAAACTCAGGACTCAAATATCCTACTACTTATATGACTAAAGGTTAGTCTAAGTTCAAATTCTGAATTTGTCCTAAAACCTTGTTGTTGTGATTACAAATATTACTTTTAATAATAAAGATGTGGTAAAGGCCTGGGCATTTGGGGATGTAGCCTCACAAGTTTTCTTAATAACCCTGGAAATCTGAAGATAGAAAAATACAGTGTGGAGAACAAGTATTTGATACACTGTTGATTTTTCAGGTTTTCCCAC